CCACGTGAGTGACGCTGGGGACACTGGGGACATTGGGGACATTGGGGACACTGGGGACACTGGGGACATTGGGGACATTGGGGACATTTGGGACACTGGGGACACTGGGGACATTGGGGACATTGGCGACATTGGGAACATTGGGGACATCGGGGACACTGGGGACATTGGGGACATTGGGGACATTGGGAACACTGGGGACGTTGGGGACACTGGGGACATTGGGGACACTGGGGACACAGGGCTGAACCTGAGCCCAGGGCCATGTGAGTGATATTGGGGACATCGGGGACATTGGGGACATTGGGGTGTGCCAGCTGAACCTGAGCCCGGGGTCACGTGAGTGACACTGGGGACACTGGGAACATCATTGGGGACATTGGGGACATTAAGCTGTGCCAGCTGAACCTGAGCCCCGGGGCCACGTGAGTGACAATGGGGACATTGGGAACACTGGGGACATTGGGGGCAATGGGGACATTGGGGTGTGCCAGCTCAGCCTGAGCCCTGGACCTTGTGAGTGACATTGGGGACACATTGGGGATGACACAGGGTGACACTGGGATGTCTCAGGTGCTAGGGTGTCCCAAAGGTGGCCCTGGGGTGGCATCAGGGATGGCTCTGGATGGCACCAGGCTGTCCCCGGGCTCCAGGCTGGCACTGCAGTGTCCCTGGGTGGCACCGTGGTGGCCCTGTGTGGCCCCGCGGTGGCAGCAGGGGCTGGCAGTGACAGCCGTGTCCCCGTGCCAGGCGGGCGCCAGGCTGGCATCATCGTGGGCTCCATCCTGGGCTCGCTGCTCCTGCTCAGCCTCCTGGGGCTGCTCATCTGGGCACTGATCGCCCGCTACCAGCGCAAGGAGTGCCAGCGCGCCTGCAGCGACTGCCGGTGGGTGCCAGGGGGGCACGGGGTGGCACTGGGCTGTACTGGGCACCAGTGACTGGCACTGGGTAGCACTGGGCTGTGCTGGGCACCAGTGACTGGCACTGGGCTGTACTGGGCTGTGCTGGGCACCAGTGACTGGCACTGGGCACTGATCACCCATTACCAGTGCCAGGAGTGCCAGCGCACCTGCAGTGACTGCCGGTGGGTGCCAAGGGGTGGCACTGGGCTGTATTGGGCTGTATTGGGCTGTGCTGGGCACCAGTGACTGGCACTGAGCTATACTGGGATGTACTGGGCTGTACTGGGCACCAGTGCCTGGCACTGGGCACTGATCACCCATTACCAGTGCCAGGAGTGCCAGCGCACCTGCAGTGACTGCCGGTGGGTGCCAAGGGGTGGCACTGGGCTGTATTGGGCTGTATTGGGCTGTGCTGGGCACCAGTGACTGGCACTGAGCTATACTGGGATGTACTGGGCTGTACTGGGCACCAGTGACTGGCACTGGGCACTGATCACTCACTACCAGTGCCAGGAGTGCCAGAGGGGCTGCAGAGACTGCCGGTGGGTGCCAGGGGGTGGCACTGGGCACCAGTGACTGGCACTGGGTGTACTGGGCTCTACTGGGCACAATTGGGCTGTGCTGGGCACCAGTGAGTGGCACAGGGCTGTACTGGGCATCAATGATTGGCACAGGGCACTGAGGGACACCCAGGGGTGTCACCAAGCAGGGGTGAGTGCCAGGGGGACACCAATGGGTGCCAATGGGTGTCACCAAGCACAGGAGGGTGGCACAGGGCACTGATGGTCACCAAGGGGTGCCAATAGGTGCCACCAGCCCCCTCGAGCGCCACCAAACCCCTCGTGGCACCACGGGCGGTGCCAACCCCCTTCCCCAAGTGCCACCCACCCCCTGGCGGTGCCACCTGACGATGTCACCGCGCTGTCCCCGCAGGAGCAGCACGGGTGGCACCATGCCCCGGCCGTGCGCCGCCTGTGCCCACCACTCGTACTCCCCGCATGGCATCAGCTACATGCAGTGCCAGCACGGCGACAGCGACGAGCGCGCGGCCGCGCTGCTCTGCAACGAGGGCATGCGACACCAGGTCACCTGTCCCGCGCTGTGACACCGCTGTGACATCGCCGCGACAGCGACAGCGACAGAGAGAACGACACAGAGAGCCCGCCCGACAAAGTGACGGCAGCAGCGGCTCCGCAAGCCCAAAAAAAAAACCCCGAAAAAGCTTCGAATTTCTACAAAATTCTTCCCGAAATCCCACAGAATCGTACACAATTCCAGAGAATTCCTCCCAAAAATTCCATAAAATATTTCAAAACCCACAAAAATTCCCACAGAATTCCACAAAATCCTTCAAAATCCCCCAAAAATTCCTGTCCTGGAGCGCCCTCCTGTGGCCACCACGGGGACAGCGACACAAAGAGCTCGCCTGTAGAAGTGATGGCCGGGGCGGCTCCTGAAGCGCAAAAAACCCTAAAACCGCTCAAAATCCTACAAAATCCCACAGAATTCCTAACAAAATTCCATAAATTATTTCAAAATCCCCAAAAATTTCTTTCTGGGGCGCCCTCGCGGGGCCACCACGGGGATAGCGAGAGTTCGCAAAAGTGACGGCAAGAGCGGCTCGCATCGCTCAAAAACCTTTAAAAGCTTCAAAATCCTACAGAATCCCACAGAATTTCCCACAAAAATCCATAAAATATTTCAAAATCCCCAAAAATTTCTGTCCTGGAGTGCCCTCGCGGGGCCACCACGGGGTCAGGGACAACGAGAGCCAGTCCACAAAGTGACGGCAGGAGCGGCTCCCGAAGCCCAAAAAACCCGAAAAAGCTTCGAATTTCTACAAAATTCTTCCCGAAATCCCACAGAATGCCAGAGAATTCAACCCAAAAATTCCATAAAATATTTCAAAACCCCCCAAAAGTCCCATAGAATTCCATAAAAGCCTTCAAAATCCCCCCAAAATTCCTGTCCTGGAGCGCCCTCGTGTGGCCACCACGGGGACAGCGACAGCAAGCGCCAGCCGGACAAAGTGACGGCAAGAGCGGCTCAGAAGCCCAAAAAAGCCTTAAAAAGTTTCGAATTTCTACAAAATACCACAAAATCACACAGAATTTCCCACAAAAATCCATAAAATATTTCAAAATCCCCAAAAATTCCTGTCCTGGAGCTCCCTCGCGGGGCCACCACGGGGACGAGGGCAGCGACAGCCAGTCCGCAAAAGTGACGGCAGGAGCGGCTCCCGAAGCCCAAAAAACCCCAAAAAACCTCAAAAGCTCACAGAATTCCTCCCAAAATTCCATCAAATATTTCAAAATCCCCAAAAATTCCTGTCCTGGAGCTCCCTCACGGGGCCACCACGGGAACTGGGACAGCGACAGCCAGTCCGCAAAAGTGACGGCAGGAGCGGCTCCCGATGCCCAAAAAACCCTAAAACCGCCCCAAATCCTACAAAATTTCTTCGGAAAACCCATAAAATCTTACAAAATTCCACAAAATTCCATAAAATATTTCAAAATCCCCAAAAATTCCTTTCCTGGAGCGCCCTCGCGGGGCCACCACGGGGACGGGGACGGGGACGGGGACAGGGACAGAAAGAGCCAGCCCGACAAAGTGACGGCAGGAGCGGCTCCCGAAGCCCCAAAAAACCTAAAAACCCTCAAAACCCCACAAAATGCCCCAAATCCCCCCCTCCGTTCCACTCTCCCCTGGTTTTATTGCTTTATTTTGGGGTTTGAGCCCTTTTTTTACAGCCACCCCATTTCCAGACCCTCCCAGTTTGGCGTCCCCATTCCCAGTTCCCAAATTCCCCATTCCATTCCCCATTCCCAGTTCCCATTCCCAGTTCTCCCAGTTCATTCCCCATTCCCAGTTTCCCCAGTCCCATCCCAGTCCCCCCACGGTGTCATTGTCACCCTCTGTCCCCGCCCCGGCCCCAAAAGCGGCCCCGTCCCCACATTTGGGATTTTTTGGGGGTTTTTTTTGGGGGGCCGGTTCGGAACGGAGCGAAAGGAAAACGAAGCCCAAAACCAGGAAAAAAAAAATGGAGAAAAAGGAAAATGAAAAAAAGGAAAAAATGGAATAAAATTGAGAGAATTGAGATGGGAGTGGCGTGACGGGGACAGAGGGGACAGGGAGGGGACAGGGGATGGGGACAAAGGTGACAAAAATGGCAAAAGAGATGGGGACAAGGATGGGACCGAGGGGACAGGGACAGAGGGGACAAACTGAGCGGGACGCTCCAAGCTAAAGATGCCCGGAGGTGACACTTGTGTCCCCAGCTCGCCCCTCTCAGTGGCCTGAGGTGGCTTCTGTCCCTTCCTCAGGGGGACACGGGGGTGGGGAAGGGAACAGGGGACGTGTCTCTGTCCCTGCTGTCCTTATTCCTTGTCCCTTTGTGTTCCTGTCCCCTCCTGTCCTTATTATATTTCCTGTCCCTTCGTGTCCACTCCTGTCCCCATCCCTGTCCCTGTCCCCTCCTGTCCCTATTCCCTGTCCCTGTGTGTCCCCTTCTGTCCCTGTTCTCTCCTGTCCCCGTCCCTTTGTGTCCCTGTCCCCATCCCTGTCCCCTCCTGTGCCTGTCCCCATCCCTTTGTGTCCCCTTTGTGTCCCTTCCTGTCTCTGTCCCTATTTCCCGTCCCCGTCCCTATTCCCTGTCCCTGTCCCTTTCGTGTCCCCGTCCCCTCCTGTCCCCATCCCTGCCCCTGTCCCTTTGTGTCCCCTCCTGTCCCTATCCCTGTCCCTATTCCCTGTCCCTGTGTGTCCCCTCCTGTCCCTGTTCTCTCCTGTCCTTGTCCCTGTCCCCTCCTGTCCCTGTCCTTGTCCCTTTCATGTCCCTGTCCCCTCCTGTCCTTATTCCCTGTCCCTTCATGTCCCCATCCCTGTCCCCCTCCCTGTTCCCATCCCATTGTGTCCCCTCCTGTCCCCATCCCCGTCCCTGTCCCTTCGTGTCCTCTCCTGCGACCCGCAGGGGGGCGGAGCTACTGAGGGGCGTGGTCAGAGAATGGGCGTGGTTCCGACTGATGACGTGTTTGGCCCCGCCCCCGTGGGTCCCGTAACGGCCGCCAGGGGGCGCGCGCGGCGGTTGCCGGGCAACGCAACATGGCGGGGCAGGTGGGGGGGGGCGGGGAAAACGGGGGAAAAAGGGAAAAAAATTGGGAAAAAATGGAAAAAAAGGGGAGGGAAAAGGGGAGGAAGGGGGGCAAAGGTGGGAGGGAAGAGAGGGCGAAATGGGGGGGAGAAAAGGGGAGCAAAGGGGGAAAAATGAGGGGACAAGGGGGGATAAGGGGGGACAGGAGGTTCGGGGGTCTCTGGGGAGGGGCCCGGAGGGGTCCCGGCTCTGAGCGGCCCCTCCCCCTCCCCAGTACGAGGACGCCTTCAGCCCCCCCCGGCTGCAGTGCTGGACCGTGCCCCGCCCCCCCCCAAAGGTACCCCCCGAGCTCGGCCTTGACCCCCCCCCCCCGGAGTGGGGGGGCATTGACCCCCCCAGACCCCTCCTCAACCCCAGCCCCGCCCCCTCAGAGCCCTCTGAGACCCCCAAACCCCTCCCAGGACCCCCCCGAGCCCAGTCCTGACCCCCCCGGGACCCCCCAACCCCACCCCAGGACCCCCAAACCTCACTCCAGGACCCATAAACCCCTTCCCAGGACCCCCAAACTCCATCCCAGGACCCCCAAACCTTCTCCCGGGGCCACCAGGACCCCTCCCCAGCCCAGTCCTGACCTCCCCGGGACCCCCCAAACGCCACCCCAGGACCCCCAAATCCCTTCCCAGGACCCCCAAACTCCCTCCCAGGACCCACCACGACACCCCCAACCCGGTCATCACCCCCGGGACCCCCCAAACCTCACCCCAGGACCCCTAAACTCCATCCCAAGACCCCCAAACGCCTCCCAGCCCCCCCCCCCCCCCCAGGCCGGTTCTGACCCCCCCAAATCCCCCCTCAGCTGCCGACCCCTCGCCCCCCCACCCCGTTCATCGCCGACGACCGGGGGCACCTCCTGCCGCACGTGCCGCGATCCAAGGTGAGCCCCGGGCAGTTTTGGGGTGTCCCCCCCCACTTTCGAGACAGTTTTGGGGTTCCCCATCGCTCCTGGGGCAGCTTTGGGGTCCCCCTCTCGCTCCTGGGGCAGTTTTGGGGGTCCCCCCTGCTCCCGGAGCGGGTTTGGGGTCCCCGGGGGACACCTGGGACAATTTTGGGGTGCTCCCCCGCTCCAGGGCCGGTTTGGGGTCTCCCCCGCTCCCGGGACAGTTTTGGGGTCCCACTTTCACTCCTGGAGCAGTTTTGGGGTCCCTCCCGATCCTGGGACAGGTCGGGGTTCCCCGGGGGGACACCAGAGCAGTTTTGGGGTCCCCCCCTTCTATCCCGGGACAGTTTTGGGGTCCCTCCTCCGTTCCCGGGGTCCCCTACCACCCTAGGGGGGACACCAGGACAGTTTTGGGGTGTCACCCCCCTGTCCCAGGACAGTTTTGGGGTGTCCCTCCCCGCTCCCGGAACATCGGGGCACTTTTGGGGTCACCCGCCAGTGCCGGGGCAGTTTTGGGGTCCCCTGACACCCCCAGGGGGACACGGGGGCAGTTTTGGGGTCTCTCCCCCCACCTGGGGCAGTTTTGGGGTCCCTTCCCGCTCTCGGGATCCCGGGGCAGTTTTTGGGATCCCCGTGAGGGCACCGGGGCAGGTTTGGGGTCCCCACCCCCGTTCCCGGGGGCACAACGGTGCCACCCCCGCTCCTGGGGTAGCTTTGGGGTCTCTCCCCGCACCCGGGGCAGTTTTGGGGTCCCCCCCGCTCCCGGAGCCCCGGGGCAGTTTTGGGGTCTCTCTCCGCACCCGGGGCAGTTTTGGGGTCACCCCCCCGCCGTGCCCCCTGCAGGTGTCGCCCTGGGGCACCTTCCTGGGCACGTGGGCGATGCCAGCGCGGATCCCCCCGGCCCGGCTGGACCGCAGCGCCCGCGAGCCCGGGGCGGCCGAGCGGCTGCGACGGGAACAGCCCCGGGAGCTGCGGAGGGCGTGCAACGGCATCCGGACACGGGTCACCGGCAAGGTGACACCCTGGGGACATGGGGACACAGCTGGGGACACAGCTGGGACATGGGGATAGACACAGGGAACAGCCCCAGGAGCTGCGGAGGGCGTGCAACGGCATCCGGACACGGGTCACCGGCAAGGTGACACACCTGGGGACATGGGGACACAGCTGGGGACACAGCTGGGGACATGGGGATAGACACAGGGAACAGCCCCGGGCACTGCGGAGGGCCTGTAATGGCATCCGGACACGGGTCACCGGCAAGGTGGGGACATGGGGACACAGCTGGGGCATGGGGACACACACAGGGACACAGACGGGAACAGCCTCGGGAGCTGCAGAGGGCTTGTAATGGCATCAGGACACATGTCACCGGCAAGGTGACACTCATGGGGACACAGCTGGGTACAGATGGGAACAGCCCCGGGCACTGCGGAGGGCCTGTAATGGCATCAGGACACATGTCACCGGCAAGGTGACACTCATGGGGACACACACAGGGACACAGACGGGAACAGCCTCGGGAGCTGCGGAGGGCTTGTAATGGCATCAGGACACATGTCACCGGCAAGGTGGGGACATGGGGACATGGGGACACAGCTGGGGACAGCTGGGACATGGGGACCTTCCTGGGGACACACACAGGGACAGCCCCGGGAGCTGTGGAGGGCCTGTAATGGCATTAGGACACGGGTCACCGGGAAGGTGACACTCAAGGGGACATGGGGACACATGGGGACACAGCTGGGGACACAGCTGGGTATAGAGGGGAACAGCGCCGGGCACTGCGGAGGGCCTGACACGGCATCTGGACACGGGTCACTGGAAAGGTGACACACCTGGGACACACCTGGGGACACCTGGGGATACACCTGGGACATGGGGACCTTCCTGGGGACAGCTGGGGACACACACAGGGACACACACAGGGACACACAGGGCCAGCCCCGGGCACTGCGGAAGGCTTGTAATGGCATCCGGACACGTGTCACTGGGAAGGTGACACCCCTGGGGACACGGGGACACACCTGGGGACACACCTGGGACATGGGGACACAGCAGGGACACCCCCAGGGCTCAAGGAGAAGCAGAGCAGGGGTGGCACAGAACAGATGGGAGAGAGGACAGGGGACAGCGGGATGGGGGACATGGGGGACACAGGGACATGGGGGGACACAGGGACATGGAGATGGGGGACAGGGGACATAGGGGGACAAGGGCATTGGGGACAGGGATGGGAGAATGGGGATGAGGGGACAAAGGGACATGGCAGATAAGGGGGGGACGGGGGATAAGGGGACACAGGGGGACAGAGGGATGGGGGACAGGGGGACACGGGGGGACAGGGACAGGGGATGTGGGGATAAAGGGACACAGATATGGGGGATGTGGGGACAAAGGGGGACAGAGGGACAGGGATGGGGGATGTAGGGGGGACATGGGGACAGAGGGATGGGACACAGGCATGGGGGATTTGGGGACAGGGGGACAAAGGGACAGTGGGATATGGGGACAGGGATGGGGGATGTGGGGACAAAAGGACACAGGAGTGGGGGACACAATTTTGGGGCTGTTCCCACAAGGAGCTCCCATTGTCCCCAGTGTCCCCAGTTCCCCCAGTGCTCCCCCATTTTGAGGGGCCCCCCCTGACCCCCCTCTCTCCCCCAGCTGCAGCAGCCCTGGCCCACGGAACCTTCTGGAAAGGACCAGGGGGGTCCCAGCGGGGGCTCCCCCCACGCTGAGCCCCCCAAACCTGGGGACAGCGCTGAGGGGGGACCCTGTCCCCAAAACCCCTCTGAGGTGGGACCCTGTCCCCTAAATCAGCCCTGTCCCCTGAACCCCCCTGAGCAGGGACCCCCCTGTCCCCTCAGCCCCTATTTGGGGGGTCCCCGTCCCCAAAATCCCCCTGGGGAGGGACCCTGTCCCCTCAATCCCTATGGCTGGGGACCCTCACCCCAAAATCCCCCCGGCTCCTGAGCCCCCCGAGGTGGCTCTGCTGTCACTGTCCCCTCCCCTGGGGACAATCCCCCCCACCCCAATCCCGCCTTTCACCCCCCTCAGGGGGGTCTGGGCCCCCCAAAAATGGGAAATAAAGGCTGGGAAATGCAGGAAATGCTTGGAATGAGCCCAAATCCTTTTGGGGTTTAGGGTTTGCCTCTGATCCTTCCTCCTCCTCCTCCTCCTCTCTGGTCCCTTGGGTGGATTCTTAATTAGGAAATTAATTGGGGATGGGATTGGGATGGGATCAAATGCCACACACCCCAAAATCCCAAATCCTGGAGAGGATTTTCACCCAAAAATCCTGGATTTTCCCCCCAAAAAATCCTGGATTTTCCCCCCAAAAAATCCTGGATTTTCCCAAAAAATCCTGAATTTTCCCCCCAAAAAATCCTGGATTTTCCCCCCAAAAGTCCTGGATTTTCCCCCCCAAAAAATCCTGGATTTTCCCCCCAAAAGTCCTGGATTTTCCCCCCCAAAAAATCCTGGATTTTCCCCCCAAAAGTCCTGGATTTTCCCCCCCAAAAAATCCTGGATTTTCCCCCAAAAGTCCTGGATTTTCCCCCCCAAAAAATCCTGAATTTTCCCCCCAAAAAATCCTGGATTTTCCCCCAAAAAATCCTGGATTTTCCCCCCAAAAAATCCTGGATTTTCCCAAAAAATCCTGAATTTTCCCCCCAAAAAATCCTGGATTTTCCCCCCAAAAGTCCTGGATTTTCCCCCCCAAAAAATCCTGGATTTTCCCCCCAAAAAATCCTGGATTTTCCCTGAAAAAATTCTGCATTTTCCCAGCAGGATCCCTCCCCACACGGAGCTGGGGCAGGAACTCAAGATGGGGTGAGGAGGGTCATTTTCCAAAGGTTAAAAATCCCCTAAAACTGACCCCAAAAACCCCTTTGCAAAAGTTAAAAATCCCCTAAAATCCGACCCCAAAACCCCTTTGGAAAGGTTAAAAATCCCCCAAACCCAACCCCAAAACCCACCAAAACCCCTTTGGAAAGGTTAAAAATTCCCCCAAAACCCCTTTGCAAAAGTTAAAAATCCCCTAAACCCGACCCCAAACCCCCTTTGCAAAGGTTAAAAATGCCCAAAACCCAACCCCAAAACCCTTTTGGAAAGGTTAAAAATCCCCCAAACCCGACCCCAAAACTCCCCCAGCTCCTCCAGAATTGCAAATTTTGGGGTTTTTTTCCCCATTTTTCCACGCTGGGCTCCTCTGGGGAGGAGGAGAAAGGAGAATCCCACACCTGGCTGAGGGACACGGGGCTGGAGGATCAGAGCCGCTTTATTGCGTTCCCCAGGGGACAGGTGACAACACCTGGGTGACAAAACTGGGGTGACAACAGCTGGGGTGACAAAGCCCTCCCCACCACGAAACCAGGACGTTCCCACTGCCAGGAGGCTCCAAAATTGGGATTTTTCCCCCCAAAAATGGGCTGAATAATGGAATTTCTATGGGGCTGATGACCCCAGTGGTGGCAGGGTGGTGGCATTGAGATGTCCCCTGTCACCCACCCCTGTGGGGCACTCTTGTCACTGGCAGGAGGCTCCAAAATTGGGATTTTCCCCCCAAAAATGGGGCTGAATCATGGAATTTCCAGGGGGTTGAGGACCCCAGGGGTGGCAGCAAGATGTCACCTGTCACCATTGCCTTCCCACTGGCAGGAGGCTCCAAAATTGTGATTTTCCCCCCAAAAATGGGGCTGAATCATGGAATTCCCAGGGGGTTGAGGACCCCAGTGGTGGCAGGGGGGTGGCACCGAGATGTCACCCCCATGGGGTGCTCCCCACTGGCAGGAGGCTCCAAAAATTGTGATTTTCCCCCCAAAAATGGGGCTGAGTAATGGAATTTCCATGGGATCCAGGACCCCAGTGGTGGCAGGGGGGTGGCAGCGAGATGTCACTTGCCACCACTGCCTCCCCATTAGCAAGAGGCTCCAAAATTGGGATTTTTCCCCCCAAAATGGGCTGAATAATGAAATTCCCACAAGTTTGAGGACCCCAGGGGTGGCATTGGGGTGGCACCGAGATGTCACCCCCGTGGCACTGCTCCCCATTAGCAGGAGGCTCCAAAATTGGGATTTTTCCCCCCAAAATGGGGCTGAGTAATGGAATTCCCACAGGACCCAGGACTCTGAGCGGTGGCAGGGGGGTGGCACTGAGATGTCACCTGTCACCCACCCCCGTGGGGCGCTGCCTCAATGGAGCTCCTTGTGCCGCTGTGGTGCCACCCCGGTGCCAATCCCACTCGTGGGGACACAGATCCCGCATTGTCCCGGCCTCGGGGACACGTGGGGACACCACGGGGACAATGGGGGACACCACGGGGACACCACGGGGGGGGGGGGTGGGGCAGCTCTGCTCATCCCGGGATTTTGGGGAGGGGGATGGGAGGGAGGGGCGGGATTGCCAGGATTCCCGGGATTCCGAGATTCCCAGGATTTCGGGATGGATTCCGGAATTTCGGGATTCCCAGGATTTAGGGATTCTGGAATTTCGGGATTCCAGGATTTTGGGATTCCCAGGATTTTGGGATACTGGGATTTCCGGAATTCCGGGATTCCAGGATTTGGGATTCCGGGATTTTGGCATTCCCGGGATTTTGGGATTTGGGGATTTTGGGATTCCCGGGATTCCAGCAGTCCCGGGATTTTGGGATTTGGGGATTTCGAGATCCCAGGATTTCGGGATCCCGGGATTTCGGGATTCCCGGAATTCGGGATTTCGGGATCTGGGAACACCCCGGGGCTGTCACAGCGCCGCCAGCGCGGCCGAGGACAGCAGGGTCAGGGCCAGCACCAGCAGCCCCGACTGCGTCACCTGCGGCAGCTTCAGCCCCTTGCCCAGGTCCCAGGCCTGCGGAGACAGCGGGGACAGCGCTGTCACTTTGTCCCCAGAGCGGGGCAGCTTCCCTCAGTGTCCCCTGCTCCCGCTCCCCGTTCACAGCCCCTTTTTCCCATTTTCTATCCCCCTTTTTTTCCATCCCCTCTCCCCTTTTTGCCATTTCTTTTCCCCTTTCCCATCCCCTCTCCCCTTTCCCCATTTCCTCTACCCATTCCCATCCCCTTTTTCCCATTTCCTCTCCCCTTTTTCCCAATTCCTCTCCCCCTTTCCATCCCCTTTTTCCCGTCCTTTTTCCCATCCCCTCTCCCCTTTCCTTTCCCACTTTTATCCCAGTTATCCCACCCCCTTTTATCCCAGTTTCCATTCCCTCTCATCCCAGTTATCCCACTCCCTCTCATCCCAGTTCCCGCTCCCTTCCCATTCCCCACTTCCAGCCCTTCTCCCCTCATTCCATCCCCTCTCCACACTCCCATTCCCACTCCCACTCTCCCCATTATTCCCATTCCCATTCTCCCCATTCCCATTCCCCTCAATTCCCATTCCCCATTTCCCATTCCCACCCTTCTCCCCGATTCCCATTTATTCCCATTATTCCCACTCTTCCCATTCCCATTATTCCCATTTCCATCCCCTCTCCCAAATTCCTATTCCCATCATTCCCATTATTTTCATTCCCACCCCTCTCCCCATTCCCATTATTCCCATTATTCGCATTCCCACTGTCTCCATTATTCCCATTCCCACTCTTCCTAGCTCCCATTCCCATTATTCCCACTATTCCCATTATTCCCACTCTCCCCAGTTCCCATTCCTATTATTCCCACTATTCCCCATCATTCCCATCATTCCCATCATTCCCATTATTCCAATTTTCCCCATTCTCATTAATCCCACTCTCCTCAATTCCCATTCCCATTATTCCCATTCCCACTCTCCACATCCCTGTTATTCCCATTATTCCCATTCCCACTTCCCCTATTCCCATCATTCCCATCATTCCCACTCTCCCTTCTCCCTGGCTCCCATTTCCATTATTCCCACTCTCCCCATTCCCGTTATTCCCATTCCCATTATTCCCATTCCCATCACCCCCACTATTCCCATTCCTACCCCTCTTCCCATTCCCATTATTCCCATTCCCATCACCCCCACTATTCCCATTCCTACCCCTCTTCCCATTCCCATTATTCCCATTCCCATCACCCCCACTATTCCCATTCCTACCCCTCTTCCCATTCCCATTATTCCCATTATTCCCATTAATCCCACTCTTCTCAGTCCCCATTCCCATTATTCCCATTCCCATTATTCCCACTTTCCCCATTCTCATTATTCCCATTAATCCCACTCTCCCCACTCCCATTATTCCCATTATTTCCATTATTCCCATTATTCCCATTAATCCCACTCTCCCCATTCCCATTATTCCCATTATTCCCATTCCCACTATTCCCATTATTCCCACTCTCCCCTCTCCCCAGTTCCCATTCCCATTATTCCCACTATTCCCATTCCCATCATTATTCCCATTATTCCCACTTTCCCCATTCCCATTATTCCCATTAATCCCACTCTCCCCAGTTCCCATTCCCACTCTCCCCATTCCCATTATTCCCATTATTCCCACTCTCCCCATTCCCATTATTCCCATTATTCCCATTATTCCCACTCTCCCCGTTCCCATTATTCCCATTAATCCCACTCTCCCCAGTTCCCATTCCCACTCTCCCCATTCCCATTATTCCCATTATTCCCATTCCCCTATTCCCATTATTCCCATAATGTGGAAAACCCTGAGCCCCCCAAACCCCAAGGGCCGTTCTGGGGTCGATCCCTCCCTGGGAATTCCACAAATCCACAATTCCCAAAATCCCAGAATTCCCAAAATCCCCAAAATCCCAGAATTCCAGAAAACCCAGCCCTCCCTCACAGTCCCAGTTCCAAACTGGAATTGGCTCCCATAAAACCCCTCCAGCCATTCCCAATCTTTTGAGCCATTCCCAAAACTCCTCTTCAATCTCATGGACCCAGGCAGGTGGGACACCCTGGGGCCACCCCCATTGTCACCTGCTGTCCCCAAAAGGGTCCTGGGGACATTCCAAGTGCACAATTCCCAGTTCCACACCGCGATCCTCCCATAAAACCCCTCCCAAAGTTTTTGTGCCGTTGCCAAAATTCCTTCCCGATCTCAAACCCTGGTCAGAGGGGACACCCCGGTGCCACCCCAGTGTCACCTGCTGTCCCCAAAAGGGCCCTGGGGACATTCCAGGTGCAGAGTCCCCAATTCCACAATGGAATTGGCCCCCACAAAACCCCTCCAGCCATTCCCAACCTTTTGTGTCGTTCCCAAAATTCCCGAAACCCGCGCAGGTGGGACACCCCGGTGCCACCCCCATTGTCACCCGCTGTCCCCAGAGGGACCCTGCGGGTGGCCCAGGCCCTCACCAGGTGGCGGACGCCGTTCCAGGTGTGGTAGCACAGGGGCAGGGCCAGCAGGAACTTGGCCGAGCACACGAGGGTGGGGCCCAGGCTGAGCGCCCGCACCTGGGCCAGGTAATGGGGGAACTGCTCAGGGAGCAGCAGCGCGGCCACCGAGAACAGGGACACACCTGGGGACAGCAGGGACACGCCTGTCAGGGACAGGGACACACCTGGGGGGGACAGATACACCTGTCAGGGACACACCTGGGGGGGACAGATACACCTGTCAGGGACAGGGACACACCTGGGGGGGACAGATACACCTGTCAGGGACACACCTTGGGGGGGACAGATACACCTGTCAGGGACAGGGACACACCTGGGGACAATAGGGACACACCTGTCAGGGACAGGGACACACCTGGGGACAGCAGGGACACACCTGGGGGGGACAGCAGGGACACACCTGGAGAACAGGGACATAGCTGGGGGGGATAAACCTGTCAGGGATATACCTGGGGAACAACAGAGATACACCTTGAGAGCAGGGATACACCTGGAATGGGGACAGGGATACACCTTGAGAGCAGGGATACACCTGGAATGGGCATGGAACACACCAGGGGAAACAGGGATACACCTGGAAGAACAGGGATACACCTGGAGAACAAACAGGGATACACCTGGAAAGGGAACAGGGAGAACAGGGATACACCTGAAATAGGGATCCAGAGAGAACAGGGATACACCTGGAATGGGGACAGGGATACAGCTGGAGGACAGTGTGGGACACCTGGAATGGGATGGAACACACCAGGGGAAACAGGGAAGAAACTCGGGGATGGAAAAATTCAAATGGAAAAAAGTCAGAGAAATGGGGATGGAAAAAACAGAGACGGGGAAATTTAGTGGGGAATTTTAGGGGAGATTTTGGGGGGATTTTGAAGGGATTTTGTGGTGGTTTTGGTGTGGATTTGGGGGGGAATTTGTGGGATTTTGGGGGGATTTTGTGGTGCTAGAAAATGCAGAGCAGGGGCTTCCCAGCAAACCCCAAAGCTGGGAATGGGGGGAATCTGTGCTGTGGGAACCCAGGGGTGTCCCCAGGTGTCCCCAAGGTGTCCCCAGTGCCACCCACCGAGGCTGAGGGCGACGCCGGTGCCGCGGTGGGTGATGGACATGGCCATGGGCAGCGACCACCTGCAACACAAATGGGCTGGGGTCACCCCAAAACCCACAGGAACGGGGCTGGGGGGCACCCCAAAACCCCGGGGATGGGGTGGGGAGGGGGATTGGGGTGAATCTGGGGGACTGGGGGGAATCTGGGGCATTTTGGGATGGCCTGGGGTGAATTTGGGGGATTTTGGGGGGAATCTGGGGGAATTTGGAGGGTCCTGGGATGAATTTGGGGGATTCTGGGGTGGCCTGGGGGGAATCTGGGGGAGTTAGGGGTGGCCTGGGCTGAATTTGGGTGAATTCAGACTGTCTTGGGGGATTTTAGGGTGCCCAGGGTGAATTTGTGGTTCCTGAGCTGATTTTGGAGTTTCCAGAAAGATTTTTGGAGGTTCCCAGCTATTTTTGGGGTGGCTTTGGGCAATTTTGGGATGATTTGGGGTGATTTTGGGGTGGTTTGAGCAGTTTTGGGGTGATTTGGGCTGTTTTAGGGACGGTTTTGGGGTGATTCGGGGTAGTTTTGGGGTGGTTTGGTCTGGTTTTGGAGTGATTTGGGGTGATTAGACTATTTTTAGGACGACTATGACCATTTTTGGAAGGTTTTGGGGTGGTTTTTTGGCTGGTTTTGGAGTTCCCTGGCCGGTTTTGGGCTGGTTTAGGGGCGGTTTGAGTGGTTTTGGGGTGTTTTGGGGCAGTTTTGGGGTGTTTTTGGGGTGTCCCTCACTTGTAGATGCTGACGTGGGGGGACAGGGGCCGCCCCGAGCGTTCGTTCCTCTCCCAGAACCTCCTCATCTCCTCCCGGGCCGTGGTGGCCATGGGGACGGCCCTGGGGGAGAGAAAGGGACTGAACCCGACCCCAAAAACCCCAAAAAACTCTAAAAAACCCTAAACCCACCCCAAAAAACCCTAAATCCACCCCAAAAAAACCTAAATCCACCCCAAAACAACCCCTGAACCCACTCTAAAAAGAAACCCCTAAACCCATCCCAAAAGCCCCAAAATCCCTTCCCAGTCCGTCCCAGTCCCTCCCAGTCCATCCCAGTCCCTCCCAGTCCCTCACAGTTTGGTCCTAGTCCATCCCAATCCATCCCAATTCCATCCCAGTCCACATCAGTCCCTCCCAGTTTGGTCCCAGTCCACCCCAGCTCATTCCCAGTCCATCCCAGTTTGGTCCCAGTCCACCCTAGCTCATTCCCAGTCCAGCCCAGCTCATTCCCAGTCCATCCCAGTTTGGTCCCAGTCCATCCCAGTCCCTCCCAGTCCATCCCAGTCCCTCCCAGTCCATCCCAATTCCATCCCAGTCCATCCCAGTCTCTCACTGGTGCAGGGTGGGGCCGGGCCCCAGCCGGGCCAGGAGGCAGCGCCGCCCCAAACCCCTGGAAAAGAGAGAAAAAAATGGGGGAAAAATGAGAAAAATGGGGAAAAAATGGGACACCGAGGGTGACACCGAGGGGACACTGAGGGTGGCACTGAGGGGACACTGAAGGGACACTGAAGGGACACGGAAGGGACACGGAAGGGACACGGAGCTGGCCCGGCCCCGCCGCTCCCGGGCCGGAACCGAGACACCGCCTCAGGCCAGGCCCGCCCCCGCCCCCGATGTCCCCTCGGTGTCCCCTCGGTGTCCCCAATGTCCCCCAGTGTCCCCCGGTCTGTCCCGGCCCCTCGGAGTCACCTCAGAGCCAGCGCCGCCATCTTGGAGCCGCCGCGCCGGAAGTGCCGTGACGCAATTCCGGTTCCGGCAACAGGCGGGATCGATAACCGACATCGGTTATTGGTATCGGTATTGATATTGGTCATTGACAATGGTCATTGATACTGGTATTGATATTCGTAATGATATTGGTATTGATATCGGTCACTGGGAGCGATAACTGATATCGGTAATTGGTTTCGGTTATTGATATCGGTCACTGGTATCGGTCAGTGGGATCGATAACCGATATCGGTTATTGGTATCGGTATTGATATTGGCATTGATATCGGTACTGGGATCGATAACTGATATCGGTTATTGATACTGGTAGTGATGGTACTGATATCAGTGTTGATAGCGGTCACTGGGATCGATACCTGATACCGGTTATTGGTATCGGGATTGATATCGGTATTTATGTCTGATATTGATATTGGTCATTGATATCGGGCACTGGGATCCATAACCGATATCGGTTATTGATACTGGTACTGATGGTACTGATATTGGTGTTGATATTAGTCACTGGGATCGATAACTGATACCAGTTATTGATATCGGTCACTGGGAGCGATAACTGATGTCGGTTATTGGCATCAGTATTGATATCGGTACCAGGATTGATGACCGATATCGGTTATTGGTATCGGTTATTTATATCGGTATTTATATCTGATATTGATATTGGTCATTGATATCGGTCACTGGGACCGATAACTGATATCGGTCCTGTTATTGATCCCTGTTTTCAATCCCGTTATCAATCCCGTTATCAATCCCGTTATCGATCTCCATTATCCCCCTGAGCAATCCCCTCTTTGCAGTTTTTCCCCTAAAATCCCCCAAACCCCCCAAAATCCCCCAAACCCCCCCTCGCCCTGCCCCAGCTACGAGCACTGTGTCCCCCCCAATGTCCCCCACAATGTCCCCCCTCCCCGTCCCCCTCAATGTCCCCTCTATGCCCCCCCATGTCCCCTCTGCCCCCAATGTCCCTGTCCCTCCATGTCCCCCTGTGTCCCATCTCCCCTCTCTGTCCCCTCCATGTCCCCTCTCTGTCCCCCCCATGTCCCCCCCGTGTCCCCCCCATGTCCTCCCCCATGTCTCCCCTCTGTCCCCTCAATGTCCCCTTTGTCCCCCTCGTGTCCCCTCTCTGTTCCCCCATGTCCCCTCTCTGTTCCCCCATGTCCCCTCCATGTCCCCCCCATGTCCCCCCACCTCTGTCCCCGCTGTCCCCTTAATGTCCCCGCCGTCCCCTCCATGTCCACCCCATGCCCCCCCCGTGCCACCCCCTGTGTCCCCCCCCGTGTCCCCCCCCGTGTCACCGCCATGTCCCCTCTACGTCCCCTCTCTATCCCCACCATGTGTCTCCCACCGTGTCCCACCCTCTGTCCCCTCTCTGTGCCCCCATGTCCCCCTCCATGTCCCCTCTGTGCCCCGCCATGTCACCCCCATGTTCCTTAATGTCCCCCCAATGTCCTCCCATGTCCCCCCACTCTGTCGTCTCTCTGTCCCCCCCATGTCCCCTCCTGTCCCCTCTGTGTCCCTCCCATGTCGCCCCCCGTCCCCCTGTCCCCCCCACTCTGTCCCCGCTGCCCCCTCATGTCCCTCCATGTCCCCTCCACGTCCCTCCATGCCACCCCCGTGTCCCCCCCATTGTCTCCCCCCCATGTCCCGCCCTCTGTCCCTCTCTGTGCCCCCCATGTCCCCCCGCGTCCCCACCCTGTCCCCCCCCTGTTTCACCCCCATGTCCCCTCCCTGTCCCCTCCATATCCCCCCCACAATGTCCCCCCGTCCCCCACTCTGTCCCCCCTCTGTCCCCTCTCTGTCCCCCCCAATGTCCCCCCATGTCCCCCCGCTGTCCCCTCAATATCCCCTCAATATCCCCTCAATGTCCCCTCTCTGTCCCCCCCATGTCCCTCCATGCCACACCCGTGTCCCCCCCATGTCTCCTGAGTGTCTCCTCAATGTCCCCTCCCTGACCCCCCACTTTGTCACCCCTTGTCCCCCTCCATGTCCCCTCGGTGTCCCCTCCATGTCCCCTCCATGCCACCCCTCTGTGTCCCCGCCATGTCCCCCCATATCCCCCTGTCTCCCTCATGTCCCCTCAATGTCCCCTCCATATCACCCCACTGTGTCCCGTTAATGTCCCCTCAATGTCCCCTCAGTGTTCCCCCATGCCACCCTCATGTCCCCCACTCTGTCCCCTCAATGTCCCCTCCATGTCCCCCCATTGTGTCCCCCCATGTCCCCCACGCTGTCCCATCAATGTCCCCTCAATGTCCCCTCAATGTCCCCTCCATGTCCCTCACTCTGTCACCCCAATGTCCCCCCAATGTCCCCCCAATGTCCCCCCGTGTCCCCCACTCTGTCCCCTCAATATCCCCTCAATGTCCCCCCAATGTCCCCTCATTGTCCCCCCAGTGTCCCCCCGTGTCCCCCCAATGTCCCCCCGTGTCCCCGCTGTCCCCCCGGTGCCACATTCCTGCTCCCCCGCCCCCGCGGCGCGCGGGAATGCGGCCGGACAAAGGCCACCAGTGTCCCCGTCCCCCGGGCCACCCTCGGTGTCCCTCGGTGTCCCTCAATGTCGCCTTTGAGCGGGGTCCCCGCGGCCCGGCCCCCCCGCGCCCATTGGCCGGGATTTGGGGACGGGGCCACCCTAAAACCGCGTCCCCGCCGCTGTCCCCTCCGTGTCACCGACCGCCACCATGTCCCCGAGGGCCACCCGCCGCCTCCTCCTCGTGGCCGGGCTCGTGGCGGCGCTGGGTGAGCTTGGGGACAAGGGACGGTCCCCAAAAAGGGGGTGGCAAGGGGGGGGGGTGGTGACAGGAGAGGTTTGGGGGTGGCCCTGGGGATGGGGACACGCGGGGCTTGGGGACTGTCACCTCAGCATGCGGACACGGGGGGCTTGGGGACTGTCACCATGGCTTGGGGACACGCAGGGCTTGGGGACTGTCACCTCAGCATGGGGACACGCAGGGTTTGGGGACTGTCACCGAGCCTTGGGGATTGTCACCACAGCTTGGGGAGTGTCACCAGAGTTTGGGGAGTGTCACCAAGACTTGGGGATTGTCACTGAGCCTTGGGGAGTGTCACCGCACATTGGGGATTGTCACCAAGACTTGGGGAGTGTCACCATGGCTTGGGGACTTGGGGATTGTCACCTCGGCTGGCAGGGGACAGCGGGGGTGGCACCAACCTGGACACAGTGGCGGGTGGCGGTCAGGACAGTTTTGGTCACTGTCACCAACCTGGGGACCGGGGCTGGGTGTGGCTGCCATTGTCACCTCCTTGGGGACAGCTGGAGGTGGCGGCCAGGACAGTCCCGGTGGTTGTCACCGAGCGGTGGCATTTGTAGTGGCACCTCCTTGGGGACATTGTCGGGGGTGGCTGTCAGGACAATGCCGGCCATTGTCACCTCCCTGGGGACAGCTGGGGGAGTGCCACACCCAGCCCCGCCCTTGTCACCCATGGGGACACTGTCCCCTCCCTGCCACCTCTGGGGACAGCAGCGCCGCCACCCCGCTGTCCCCTTCATGCCACCCATGGGGACGGCAGTGCCGCCACTCCGCTGTCCCCTCGCAGCCTTCGCGCTCCCTTTGGTGGCACCTCGGTGACACTGCGGGCTGTGGTGGCACCTCGGTGACACTCCGGGCTGTGGTAGCAGCTTGGGGACACTCCGGGCTGTGGTGGCACCTGGGTGACACTCCGGGCTGTGGTGGCACCTGGGTGACACTGCGGGCTGTGGTGGCACCTCGGTGACACTCCGGGCTGTGGTGGCAGCTCGGTGACACCGCCCCGCGCGGGGGGCGGGGCTGTGACGTGTCTCTGTGTCGCGCGGGGGGCGGGGCTGTGACGTGTCTCTGTGTCGCCGTGTCCCCAGGGCTGTCGCCGGTGTCCCCGATCCACGTGTACACGCAGCGCGAGGTCCACGGCACCGTGGGCTCCAGCGTCACCCTGTCCTGCAGCTTCTGGTCCAGCGAGTGGATCTCGGAGGACATCTCCATCACCTGGCACTTCCAGGCCGATGGCTCCCGCGACAGCATCTCCGTCAGTGTCACCGCTGTCCCCAAAATGTCCCCAAGCCATCCCCGTTGTCCCCATCCCGTTCCCATCGCGCCTCGGTGTCACCTCGTCCCAGTGGAGCCTTCCCTGGTGTCTTCTTGCGCTGTGGTGGCATTGAGGTGTCCCCAGAGTGTCCCCACGGTGTCTCCAAAGTGTCGCCATTGTCCCCACGCTGTCCCCAAAATGTCCCCGTTGTCCCCAAGCCATCCCCGTTGTCCCCATCCCGTTCCCATCTCTCCTCGGTGTCACCTCGTCCCAGTGGAGTCTTCCCTGGTGTCTTCTTGTGCTGTGGTGGCACTGGGTGTCCCCAAAGTGTCCCCATGGTGTCCCCAACCCTTCCCCATTGTCCCCACGGTGTCCCCAACCTGTCCCCATTGTCCCCAAAGTGTCCCCAAGCCATCCCCGTTGTCCCCATCCTGTTCCCGTTGCTCCCCGGTGTCACCTCATCCCGGTGGAGTCTTCTCTGGTGTCTTCTTGGCCTGTAGTGGAACTGAGGTGTCCCCAAAGTGTCCCCAGTGTCCCCACAGTGTCCCCAAAATGTCTCTGTTGTCCTCATGGTGTCCCCAACCCATCCCCGTTGTCCCCAGGCCATCCCCATTGTCCCCATCCCGTCCACGGTGCGCCCCGGTGTCACCTTGTCCCAGTGGAGTCTTCCCTGGTGTCTTCTTGCCCTGTGGTGGCACTGGGGTGTCCCCAGAGTGTCCCCATTGTCCCCACGGTGTCCCCAGCCCGTCCCCATTGTCCCCAAATTGTTCCCAACCTGTCCCCATTGTCCCCATAGTGTCCCCATCCCATCACCGCCACGCCCCAGTGTTCCCACGTCCCAGTGGAGCCGTCCCCGAGGGTGACACGGTGTCTTCCTGCCCTGTGGTGGCACTGGGGTGTCCCCAAAGTGTCCCCACGGTGTCCCCAACCCATCCCCATTGTCCCCACGGTGTCCCCATCCCATCCCTGCTGCTCCCTGGTGTCACCTCAT